CTTGTGATCGCAGCTACACTGAGGTAACGGTACTACAGAGCTACGTGAGGGAGCCTTTCACTTTAGCTACGGCCCTAGTGACTGCACCACGGGCTTAACCCTACGGTGCTTAACTACCCTGTGTATATAAAGGACGTAGCGACCCCTACCTTTAGTAGGAGGTCGGCAACTCTCTACCTCTCATAGCATACCGCTACTTGCAATCTCAGACTTATGATTCAATTTATCTTGGAATTCCAACAGAAGAAAAGATAACAATATACTCATGGTCTGGACTATAGATGAATCTCTCTTGCACGGTCTTTTCCCCAGTTATAGTATATTCCGTATGCCAGCTATTGCATCTCTGGGCAGTAGTTAGCCAAACGTACAGATCAATGCAAAGAACGGACTGCACTACATGGCTTACAATAAGTACTGGGTGTCACTGAGTAACGTTATAGGCTCAGAATTGGGTCTATTGAATAAAATGCTAACTCCGACCAACATTACCGGGTGCTACTTTATACGGAATACAACCCCAAAGGTGCCATTTAGTTCGTGGGCTTTAGTTATAATATGAGTATAAGCGAGACCTGGTATTCATCGATATTTTTAAAGAGCTACTGCTCAGTCATTGACTCACTAGCATGGCCCAAATTAAATCCGATTGGAAATTTGAGAGTGTTGTATTGAGATAATTGGTGATCCCCTCGAAGCACGTCTGGAAATCACTTAATGGTTACCAGTTCTGAGAGGACATTAACCTGCAAATGGAGTGGTCGACTTTGAAGTATATACTTCCGAGCAAGATAGTAATATGTACTTTGAAATACTCAAATGCAAATAAGACGCAGCAGGAGGCAGAATGGGCACGGGACGCGAGGTCCACCCGGGGAAGCGTAGGCTGTTTGACAGGCTGAATAAAAAGGTTACTGAGCCTCTAGGCAAGCCTTTCTAAGTTATACATAGCTATCGCTATATAAAACGTATCGGATTGGGCTTCGGAATTTCCTATTCAGGTTCAAAGGAGACGCGTTGGATTAGTATTCCTCAGGTATCTTGAACAATAGTACTGGAGTTAAAAACCTACGCTGCAAGGTTGTAGAACGTTGTACTGTTATGCTGTAGACACACCTACGTCGCCAGGTTGCCAATATTACATGCAAATCGGGCCTATTGAGCAAATGGCTCTGGATAGAGTTAATACAGAACTAGGAAAAAACCAACCACATTAGCACGTAAGGAAGACGCTGGTGGGACAGAACTTTATCTAAGATGATGTCTCAAGTACAATATATATATCATAATCAAACACAATGAGATATGTGTATATCTCTACATTGCAGTCTGTCTTGGGACTAAGTTGATGGCTTGTGAATTTAGTACGACAGTGTTCCTCTAATATACTTGGATAATATCAGTTCAGTTGCTGTGGAATTCGGGAATATATAGTATAGCCGCGGCCTCCTCGGCAAGGCCCCTCCATAGTTATAAGTTTAATGTTTAGGCTCAAACACATTGATGGAATACTGATTGAAAAAATACAAAAGGCGCAAAAGTTACATATATCCCACCGAGGATGACTGATTGATTCAAGCCCTTGAAACAGTACGGACATTTCCTAGATGCGCCATGTCTTATAGATGATAGAAGACACTGAAGTCCATGGGTCGCTCAAACACTCTTTACATTGTAAAGTCAAACTTCCGTCTAAGATTCCTTAGAAGCCATACACATAAGTCTATCAATTACAACCATCGCTTCAGGAGAACCATTTCCGTGGTGAGGCCAGGTCCAAAGCTGCACGCAATGACATCTGGTTTTCGCATCTCCATCGACCGTAACCTGTCTAAGACGGCAAGGACTGCCACGCTTGATGCATTTCCCCGACTCCTATAGATCTCGTAGCTCGCCATCAATGCCTCATCGGGCAATTTCATTGCCATCTGCGCACCTTTAATGATAGAAAGGCCACCGGGATGAACAGCCCAGTCAAAGTCCACTGGAGACATTCGTTTTCCATTTGTCTCGAGTAGGCTTTGAAACGGCGTTTGCAGAGAGGCAGCAGTGTACTTAGGAACCTGCTTCGAGAGCGAGAGAAGGAATCCATTAGATGTTACTTGATAGGACATGTCCTCATGTGTCCTGGGGGTGATACATGTCCGCCAATCAATAACGCTGAAGCGTCTAGGAACCTTGTCATTCAGGTTATAAGAGTTGCACAACACCATAGCCGCCGCACCGTCACCAAAGAGGGCTGGCCCGATCCCGACAGTATGTGATTGGGATGCAGCATGGAGCTCAGCCCGGATCTGGATGCTGCAGATCTCACACGCAATAATCAAAATCCGTGCCTCTTGGTGTTGTAAGGTTGCTGCTCTTGCTAGATTAGAGGCTACCCTTAGTGCAGCTAGGCCTCCAGCGCAGCCAACACCAGCAAGGAGAGCTCTTTCTGCAGTCGCAGGAATGCCCAACTCCCGGGCTACGATCTGATCATACCCCGGGCTGCCCGCATTGGTTGCTGTGACTGCCACAACATGTGTAACGGAGCTTGGGGTGATGTGGCTATCTCTCAAGGCATCTAGGGCGGCAGCCTTTGTAAGCTGGACTCCGTAGTTACGAAATGCAGTATCGACGTCTTCTGCTGTAGGGGAACTATCCTGATTCCATTGTGGGTCATCCCAGATGTCTACCACGGCACGAGTTTGTATGCCAGTTTGTTCGTTAATCTTCAATAAGCTTTGGAGCCTGAAATTCAATGAGCAAACCTTCCTCCTAATAGGCTTCATTATAGGGGACGGAACGAACCAGGGGGCATTTTCTGGGTAATGGTTCAGGGCATATGCTTTCATATCTTCTGGACCAATAAGCTTGGGTGGCCATTTGGTCGCGAGACCGGTAATCATCAAGGTACCTTCATCCTCTTGTAATGGGTAGGCTGAAGCGTCGTCAGCCAGGTTGGAAAGAATTGCACCCATGTTGGCTGTGTGATAAAGAGAATGAAATGAAAATTGATTGAAAGAAAGCTGTCACTCAAAGTTCTAGAAACCAGCACTTAAATATCCCGACGTAGCTGGCCACGTAGGGTCTTCTATATATGTATGTTCTTATCCCCTTCTACATGCACATTCGAGTGGTAGTACCTAGAGTGGTGCTGTCGGGGGGCAGGAAACCTATAACGATGACGCACAGTCCTGATTATATGCTCTCAGACATTTTTTAAATCTACCCCGGTCAGGAGCATTAAGGGTGGATCGTTAGTAGAGTGGAAATCCATGGATTACGGATCGGTTCTGGTAATTTTACCGGCCACAGTACTAGTTGATACCCCCCTGGGCCTGTATGTTAGATTACAGCATCCCGATCCCTGCGCCCCGAGTGGAGATGAATTCCCACTGCTACCTAGGCTAGTACGTGTGTCTCTGATTACAGCAGAGGAAGATACAGGTACTGAGTGCTACGTCGGCTCGCCGGTCACATGTGGCAGCCCAATAACAGTTATTGATAACCCTTGTAAATTTTCTCCGTCACCACCGAACAAGACAGCAACCTTTTTACTTGCTGCTTACTCGCGTTCTCCTTTCGTGAATATTGAAAATTTGACTCCACAATCGTTCTAGAGTCCAGAGACTTTGTTTGTTAGACATCTTTAGAAATGGACGTAGCTGATGCCCAGAAAAAGGCCGTCCTCGCCTACCGAAAGGGCTGGAAATCGGCTCCCTGGATGCCTATCTCAAAAATGCAAGCATACTCCGCTCGCCCAAAACCAGTCAAGGGACCACTCTTGGTCAGTAACGTAACGATTCCACGCCCAAGCCCCAAGGAGGGAGAGAATCTACGTTCGAAGCTCTGGGATCTCTATCAAGCTAAGAGTGAGGGTGTCGAGAAGCTCGACCCCCCAGCGCCCTGCGCCGACTACAAGGCCGAATGGTTAGGGTTTCGAAATGATGTGAAAGACCCTAACGCCCCTCAGCCATACGGTGCAGACCAGAAAATATTCAGTGACATTGAAAAGCACGCAACAAACGACGTGACGCTTTTCTACATCTCGGGAGGAGCTTGGTTGTAAGACGAACCTAGATTATTCAATTTGTCAGGATCGTGCTAAATGGCTATCCAGCCGCGCGGGATCTCCAGGCTGCCGACCTCTGATCCAGCAACTCTGCCATCGCAGCGGCTCACGCGCCTTTACTTTCCAATATCGTCTCGTGCCGCAGTATACTCTCCCCACACTAGTGCTCGACACCTTGGTGGCTTACTTTTACTTGATTGCACCCCCGCCGGGTTCATTTCACAAGCCAATCGACCCCAAGCAGATTGTGCTAGTTGGTGAGTCTGGTGGCGGAGTTTTGCATCTGCACTTGCTTCAATTCCTCCAGTCTCTGCTACGTCGTTGGGAAAGAGCAGTTATCAATCTCAATGGTCGTGATATTACAATTGAGATGCCTCGCGGCTGTGCCTTTGTCTGCCCAGGCGCAGACTTTGCATTGGCACTTCCATCTGTTGAAAAGTTCAAGCTTGTCGACTGGCTATCAGAAGGCGCGCCGTGGGTACAGCCTGGCTTTCCAGCTGACAAGGTCTGGCCGGCTAACCCGCCCCGAGGCGACCTGCACTGTGACAACTCAGCAATCTGCCATCCCCTTATCGACCCCTCTGCATGGACCGATTGGGAAGGTATGCCACCTATGTGGATTGCCTGCGGCGAAGAAACACTTAGTGACGGAGTAAAGTTCTTGGTGAGGAACCTGAAAGCCTCAGGGGTTCCCGTCACCTTTCTACAATATGAATATATGCCGCACGTTTGGAATGTTATCATCCCGGCGCTCCCTCAGAGTAGGCATTGCATGAAACTGTGGGGTGAGGCTTGTCTCACTATTGGAACCGAGGCCCACGAAAGAACGTCCACTGCCCACCTTGTCAAGCTAGGCCAGTTGGAAATGGTTCCAAGAGACCTTGATTCCTTGCTCGGTATCCCGACCGATGAAGTCTTGAAACGGATGCGAGGGGCGAGAGATAGACTGGCCAAGTCTATATGGGAAGGACCCGGGAGTGGGGACTCCAAGCTGTGAGTTAGTTTAAGCTGCCTTACTGTAGTGCTTTCGAAAAATGCAACAGATACCGATTAGGCTGGCTTTAGCCAGTCTAAATTTTATTCGCTTAAAACTATGTGGGACGCCTGGCCTCGAAAACCAAAACCGACCCTACAATGCCCACCTTCACATCCTTAAAATTTTCCCGTAGTCCTTGAATGAAGACCTCCACATTATCAGCGATATTACTGAGTCTTTCTTCCCAATTCAAAACACGGAGCAAGAGGCGACCGGCCCAGCTATGCCACGGACCGTATCCGAGAATAGTAGCGCCGAAGACCACGCCGGAGGGTTTGATTGCCGCCTTGGCCTTGGCAAAAGCTATCAATTTCTCTTCTGGGCGGACAGAAAGGGTGTGAATGAGGTAGGTTAGCGATATTGAATCGTATGCCGTGCACTGAGATGAGGGCGGGGGTGGAGGAATCTCTTCAACAGATAAAATGTCATGTTGATAATGATGGACTTCCACAGTCGGGTGTGAACTATAGAGTCTAGTACATGTTGTCGATAGAGGCGTGCCCTCAAGGTCGAGGAGGGTGATTGTCGCTTTAGGGCTAGTGTACTTGTGATGAACAAGGTAGTAGCCGGTGCCTTCAAGATTGATCGGGGATTAGGGTTGGATCCGTTGATATGTATCGTGTCGGTTCACCTACCACATCCTATATCACACTGATGAATGCCAATATTGCGTTGGTGGAGAGGCACTAGCACCTCTTTGGTCGAACAACGCCAGATATATGGGTTAGCGATGTTCATTAGCCAGGCATCGTAGAAGTAGAGCATGATCGACGGGTATTTTGATGTGCTAAATGGCCACATTGTAGTTGGTAGGAAGTTTTACAAAATAAACGGGATATTGGTAAGATGTCTTCTTAACAGTTGATGGAGGGTCAGCGTGAAAGGAAAGAAGGGAAGACTTGAACCTGCTCCTTGGGGCCTTGTCTTGGCAGTTGTAGCAAGTGTAGTCTTTCGGGCTCCAGTCGATCGAGACTGTCTTGGCAATGGAAGCTCCAGCGATACTGTGGATGAGAGATAGCTAGACAGGCTGACGGGTAGAATATGGAGGAGATCCCTTGGCGTGTAACATACAAGAAGCCAACGGTGAGGATTGTATATAGGAGATATTTCCGCCGCGCAGGCATCTGGACATGATGGATGATGAACATTGGGATCCCCGCGGTCATGAAATCAGTGACGACACCGACGCCTGTGCTGAACGGTTAGAAAAATTAACTTAGTCACCCCCAACCCCCGGGACGAGCGAAATAGCAACGCAGATGCTGACTTACCAGAGGCGGCTTTGAGCAGGATGTTGACGGTCTGCGTGTCTATGCATTTAGCTTGGACGGACGTGTCCCAGTAGCCTTGCAAGGGGACACATTGGACGAGATCAACAATGATGACTGCCACTGTGAAGGGAACAAGGCTCATAAGATTGAGTATAACAAGTCGTTGGACAATGCGATTCGCCTTATGCACCATGTGGAGTAAGAAGATGGAAAGAGATATTTTTAGTGTCATTGTGCACAGTAGGTTGAGTATTGATGCGATCAGCGTTAGCTTGGAGAGCGTGGGATAGTTTGCTGGATCGACAGTATCCATATGCCTGATATAATGATGTCAGGCACAAGAACAGTTCCTGTGGCCCTAAATTTATACAAGCATACCTGCCAATTCCGTGCTGAATCTCGTAGTCAGTGTCCTGTCTCAGAATGGAACAACATCGTAACTGAAGTCGAACAAACCTCAACTAGAGAAGCCTCTATCACCCCAGTACCAATACCAAGTGCCTGTGATCGGTTTAGCTAGATATACGATTCTCTTAATCGGTGCGAGGGAATGCCAACAAGGGACAGCAGCATGGCCCTATGTAAGTGAGTCTTCTAACTCTAGGGCTTAACGGATTTATTCAATCCACGGCATCGGCAACTCACAAATCATCCCATCCAAACGATCCGGGTCGCAGTCGTAACCTCACGTAAAGACGCGCCGCCATCAGGACAGCAGCCACCGAAGTCAGTGTCCAGTGTACAGTGACAATGGCGGTCTGTATAGAAGTATATGCCATCGTGATGTCAATATCGCCACACGAAATGAGGATAGCAGGCCGGAGGGTATTGAATCTCTACAGCCCGATAGGAGATGCTAAGCTTAAGTATCATATCTAGTCCACATTCAGACAAGAAATGCTTTCGACCCTGCCCCTGAACATAGAGGAATAAGTACTCTGGGGCCAAAACTACATGATACACTACTAGAGAAATGTAATCCTTCAGTCTTACAACTGATGCCCTAGCTTCCTTCTGTGCTGTTTGCCCAGATCTGCACTGCGCTACTGTACAGGGCTGTGTATAGTGTGAAAAAGTAGGAAAGATTGCGACAGGAGGGTGTCCTGACCGTCAGGTGTAACAACCTCTCCGCTCCAGAGGGCTTGGTCAATGCATGTAATCATAATCCCAGACAGGCAAGCTGGCTGTTCTGTCCGGGATGGTCGGGTCCACTTTACTAGTGCTGACATGATGGATGAAAGGTATCCTGTCCCCATGTTCGTTTGTACGAAATTTTCTTTGTTTCCCGGTCTCCACCCGAGGGCGGGGTTTGCAGGAGACGTTACAAAGTAAGGAAGGCTGTTTCTCTCTAATCGAGACATCCTGGATATTCCTAATAACTTTTACTTCAACTATTTAAGAGACTTAATACGACCTCGCAGAGAAACGATCTAAAGACCGATTGTTAACCACCATGGGAGACAAGGGAAGCATGGCGGCCGAAATCCAGCAGGTCATTGAACAATACAACAAAAATGATCCTGCGAGTTGGATGCGACTGGAAGATGCCCTGGAAAAGGTGCGTCGGGAGTTGGTGCCTCCTCACATATTTACGATGAAACAGCGACTCCAGGTATGTCGCCTCTTTCCTCTTTCCCTGGCTCTTGGAACGCATCGCAAACGGCAATAATTTCTCCGTAACAGACAGTGAACAATGTTTGCATTGTAGTAGCGCTTGAGATGGGCTTGCTCCAGACCTTGACTGCCAACCAAGGCAAGAGCCTGACTGTCGAGGACTTGTCTAAGGCCTCCGGGTACAACGCCGGCCTCATTGGTACGTATCAGTGATTGCTTTTAGCAGAGGTTGTGACGGAGCATTTGCACTAATGCATTCCCACCACCGCAGCTCGAGTCATGCGTATCATAACCGCCATCGGCTTCGCAAACGAGACCGCGTATCAGACTTACTCTGCAAATGGTTGCACCTTGGCTCAAAATAGCCCAGGGGGTATCGGAGGCATTATTATCTCGTAGAGTGTCCCAAAGCTTCGATCTTATCGCTCAACTCTGGTTAAACGCACACTAACATTTGTCCCAACCCAGCAATGACATTGTCTTCCCAGTTGCAAGCCGAATCCGGCAATATCTTCGACAAAACAAACCTGTTGATATCAGCAAAGCGCCCCCAGCATACGAATTCGCGTTGGGGGAGACCATATGGCAAACCCTTTCGAAAAATAACGAATGGAAAACAGGCTTTGATGACAACATGACTGCTCGAAACAAAACACTCTCTATCCCATGGCATGTGAAATATCCTGTTATGGAGAAATTGACTGCATGGTCGCTGTCTACAAAGCCGATTATTGTTGATGTCGGTGGTAATCAGGGGGTGGATCTACAGCGTTTTGCGGATACATTCCCTGACCTAGAATGCGAACTGATCTTGCAGGACCTACCGGAGACAATAGCCGGAATTCCAGGAGAGCTTGACCCCAGAATCAGGCCAACTGCGCATGATTTCTTTACGGAGCAGACTACTAAGGGTAAGTTATGAATAATACAAAGTTTCTCATGTCCCCCGCTTCATGTATCACAGTGCTAAAATTGGTCTAGGGGCTCATATATACTACCTCAAATCTATCCTGCACGACTGGGACGATGTCGCCTCCCGCAAGATCCTATCCAATATTGCGAAAGTCATGCAACCTCATTCTCGTCTCCTTATCAACGAGATGATCCTAGCCGATCTGAATGAGTCAATGATCAGGAGTAATATGGATATGCTTATGCTATTCTTTACTAATGGGATGGAGCGCACTCAGACACAATGGAATGAGTTGCTGGCCACGGTGGAACCACCTCTCGAGATCGTCCAGGTTTATTCAGCTCAGGGGGATCAACAATGTGTCATTGAAACCTGTCTGGCACAGTAGATATAGGCTGCTATTATGGATATAGGGGATTGGAGCGTGTTAAGTGAGAAATTCAACATTACCTCTTTTTTTCGTATGGGTTGAGTTGTTGAGATAATATCGCATATATACTCCGACCAATGCTTTGTTGAAGGGCTTAAACTAGAAAATAGAAGACCTGACACGAGTCTATCAAATCATCATGAGTGCATATTATGAAAGATCATCGCTTAAAGAGCGCGCCTAGGGAAGAAACATCGATGTTTTATATCTCGTGAGTAAAAGTGAGTCAAAAGCCTGATTACACGAAAAAAAAAAAAAAAAAGAAAGAAAAAGAGAGAAACAAGAAAAATTCAGAAAAACGAAATTAAAACTTGATCTTCTCAACCAATTCAAAAGCTATAGATCTATAAAATTGGTTCTATAGAATCCCCATACTAATACATTGCATCCCAGCCATGTACCCAATGTACAGCCTACGGTCTGCGAGGCATAGATACATTTAGGCAATCTATTACCCGCTGTGGGTTTCAGTAAAAAGCATAGTATTAGGCCTTCGATTTCCACTAATTTCGGTTCTAGATGTCCTCATTTTGATAGAATTGTAGGTGGTTGAAGGTTTCGATTTTCTGACACGTCGTGGGAACGCCTTAGTGTATTAACCTACCTTGTAATATGGGCAAGAAGTGCATCGACAACGTGCTCGTGCTGTCTGTCCCGTGCGTAGTCCAATGGACTTTGTCCATTATAGTCCGACAGATGTGGATTTGCTCCATGCTTTAGAAGTAATTCAACAAAATGAGCATGGCCATTTAGTGATGCCCAATGCAATGCAGTCCTGTGGTAACGGGCATCCTGAGAATCATGCTTCGCACCTCGATCAAGGAGAGGTTTGGCGACGTCTTGGTGGCCGTTCTCTGCGGCCCAGGACAATGGGGCCTGCCCCCATCCATTTCGCATAATAGGATCAGCACCACGATCTATCAACAATCTTGCTGCCTCTAGCCTGCCGCATCGTCCGGCCCACATGCGCGGTGTGTCATCCGTATTATCCTGGGTAGGATTGCTATCCTTCGTATCCCGCATCTTAGGATCGACCCCCCTCTCTCACATAAAAGCCACGATTTCCGTTTTACCGTATTCGGCCGCCTGTGAGAGAGGTGACCGGCCCCACGGGTCATCGCGATAGTCTGGATCGGTCCGTATATTCATCACAAATTCCACCCCCGACAGTCACCCATCACGTGCCGCATCAAGCAACATGCGCTGATTAGCTTCGGGGCCTGTGAACTTTGTCAGGACGTCTAGACGGCCATGATCCCTTGGCCAATCCATAATGACGTCTCGGACATCCCAGCCGACTGTTTCCAGAGTGTATATGTCAGCTCGATGCTCCAGCAATGTATTGAAGACCGCGTGATGCCCGGAACTAACGGCGCGGTCCAGTGGGAGGGTCGAGGCGTTATCCTTGATATCTGGCCTTGCGCCCCGCTCTAGGAGTAGCTTTACCAATGCTTGATTTCCCAAGCCGGCCGCCCACAAAAGGGGTGTGGCTTGGTGATCATCTGTATGGTTGGGGTTTGCCCCGTTGTCAAGAAGAAGGCGAGCCACATCTGTATTTGGTTGTTCCGCTGCCCATGCCAATGGAGTTCTGTCACTCCCATTTAAGACGTCGCATTGTATGCCCACTTGTATGAGCTGCTTTGCTGAATTTGTGAAACCCAGATATGCGGCTAAATGAAGGCCACTCAAATTGTTCGGCGGGGAGAAGCATACATCGTCGCACAAGCATTGTGGTGTTATGTAACTGTCAGCAGAGGAGAGACAAGACGGGTCAGTGAGAAGCTGCAGTGGAAGTGGGTTTTCAAGAGTATGCAGGCGTGCATGATGGATCCAACTTTTAGCGGCGTACTCGAACAGAGGCCGTTTAACCTCCCGCTCTAGCAAGCCTTCCTCACTGTCAGATGTGTTGTCACGGAAGGTATCTAGCGATAGATAGGTAAGGCAGACTGTAGCGATATCAGAGTGTGCGTTGGGAAACCAGACGTTCCACTTCCTTTGGAAATATTGCTGTGTGGTGAAGTGCACCAAGCGAAAAACACCACTCTTTTCATCCACTGCTACAAGGCCCGAACATACTTCTAAGAGCATATCTACCTCAGGAATAGCATCTTCGTCAAGAGCCTTTGCCCCTTGCTGCACTGCAAGAGCATGCTGCAGCTCCGAGGTAGTTAAGGGTCTTTCGCTACATATGATCCACCCCAGTGTGCGCATTGCCAGGTCTTTCAAATTAATCGTCTGTTTTTGGATCCGCGTCATGGCCTCATAGTATACTTGATCTTATGAATCAGAGCCTCTGGGCAAAGGTTTCCAGAGCGGCTTTAATTTCGCTGCGAGTGATCTTGTCCCTCAACGACTCCAGGTGAAACTTGGAGAGTAGAAACCTTCATCTTCGGTCAGAATGTATGTATTAGTATTTAGGAGAGGTGCCTCTCTTACATGTCATCCACCGCCTCAACGATTGTTTCCCTAACATTAAGTCGCATGTTGGGGTCCTCAGAAACGAACGGTCGCAACATGTCCAGTTGACTCTCGACGTAACTTCGTACGTCGTCATCGGCCGCACGCATCTCCAGGAATACGCCGTGGTTTCGTCGAAACATGCTAGCTATATCTGCAATTGGCTTGGAAGTAGCGAAAAAGCTGATTGGGCTATCTTTTTGCAGCCTGAAAAGACTCGAGACGAACCGCCGACACGTTCCATTGGAGGCATGAATCTCATCAAGCGCATCAACCACCAGAAATACTTTCCGATAGATCGCGATGACAGTTCCCAGCATCATCAGGAGCTTTTCAGTTGAGTGATTTATGTGCTGAACCCGGAATCTTTCATAGGCCTCCGTTACACATTCAGGAAGCTGGGACTGCTGCTGGGCAAGCTGCTTTAACAGGTTAGTAAAGATGGACTCAATGGTCTGGTCACTCTGTCGACGAAAGTTGCAGTAGATGTATACAATGTCAACCTCGCGTTTATCGCGGAATACTTCATGCAGATGGTGCACCACGATTGACGCCATGATTGTCTTACCTGCTCTGGGAATTCCTTGGCAAAGCAGGGTTTGCTTTGGGTCCTGGACCCATTTCTGGAATGTCTCGCTCTCAATAAACCATGTTCCGGTACCTTTTTGGTGTTGAGAAAATGCATCTCCCTGGCGATTCTCATAGTCAAATGGACTTAGCCACTCTAGCACCTTCTGACGATAGGTGCTTTCCATGGTGTCTCTTAATTTTTTAATTCCTTCGTCCACGTGGTTTAGGGTAGTGGCGACTGTTAGGGCCCAGTTAGCGCATCTATATCTTTCTAGAATTAACAACCGATTCTCACCGTTTTCCATGAAGCTAGTCGCAACTTCAGTATTCTTGATCTGTTCTGGTCCAATTACTCGCAGGAGGTCCTTGGCATACGCTGCGGCAACAACAGCAGCGTAAGGCTGCCACTTCTTGGTTTTATGGCTATCAGAATAGTCACACAACTTATGAATCACCAAGCAGGGAAAGTGATTCATCAAACCCGCGGCCTCCATTTCAAAGCATAAGACATTCCATTCATCCCGCAATCTATCCTGGAGCGAAGCGTTTCGCATAACGGCATTCCCGGAGGCAATGAGACCATAGTGCACCACAGGACCATCGGATCTTCGTGGAAGTCGATCAATCTTCTGTTCAGGATCGCACATACCGCAACTAGCATTCTCGCTTATGTGAGTGTATTCGGTTCAAAAAAGGAGATCCTCCTCTCACCCGGGAAAGAAGGGGTCTTCCACATCGGACAGACTCTTCAGCAGACTCAACGTGTCATCGATATATTGCGACATATTCCCCGTGCCAAACCTGTGGTCCCCTCGTACTTGCTTCATTGCGTTTAGTAGGATAGTGGGAGGTTTGTTCAAATGCGACTCGATTGACAGTTCGCCCTCGCTGTTCCATTTACCCATGTCGTAATTCAAGACACCGCCTGGCGGTGGTTAGATGCAATTCCCGGGAGCTGTGTGTGTGTGTGTGTGTGTATGTATAGGATTTGGTCGGAGAAGCAACGTACCATGATTCCCCTTCGGGTCACTCACCACAATATCGCCTAGACGCACATTCTTGATCGGGTCCTGTGGATGCGGTGCACTTGGTACAGCACCACCGTCGCCGACCATGAGCCCAAATCGAATATTCTGAAATGTGTGAACTAGGTTGGTTACAGCTTGAGCGGCGGAATTCGTGCCATAGTATCCGGGATAGGTGACAGTCAACGGGTGATCCTTGAGTTGTGTATCATCAGAAATAATATGCGCCATTGCTGACTCTGCGTCGAATGCCAACCCACAGAATGACTCGTGGGAAAGCTGCGGTGTTCTATCTGAGCAAGGTAAATCAGCAACAACCTCTAAGTAAAGTGGCCTCAAACCAGAGAGCGTCGCCTTCAACAGTATAGAGGGGACGATGAATGCTGACGGTGTGCGAAATCTGCTTACCAATAAATCACTCCGGCAATCCTAATAGGATTCTACCTTGTTCTTAACGCAAATATCCCGACACTTCAGCTCCTGTCAGGCATCGCAGTCATGGTAGGCATTTATAAAGGGCTGGTGATGGAGATTTTGCAAATATAATCGCGGCCTCACTAGAAGCAATCAAGGGCATATTATAAAAAAGGAAGTGTGTGTCAAAGATTGTATTGAAAGTAGGGAAGGGCGATGGGCTGGTAGTAAAGTGACTTGATGCGAGGTTGTTCAGTGAATGCCTGTCATGAATCATCGCAAGCCTTTATTCATTCCCCTATATAAAGCTAATAATAATGAAGATCCCATCCTCCGTTATGTCCACTATGGTATCCATTGTGATATCCGTTATCATATCCATCACCTTCCTCATCAGACGAACCCTCATCAGGACCAAAGTCAACCCCCTCATCATCTTCGTCTTCCTCTTCCTCATCATTCTCATCCATACTACCCCCATCCTCCTCCTCCTCACTCCTTTCCTCAGCCTCAAACCGTCGCATAAACCACCAAACCTGAAACGGCGCACCCAAACCCCCATTACTCTCAAACAACTCCAACCCCAAACTCTCCATATCATAAGCCCCCTCACCAGTCATCGCCAACGCAATACAATAAACATTACACCCCCGCTGCAACAAACTCTCCCTAAAAACCCCACTATTAACCTTCTGCATATCCTTCTTCACCTCACTCCGGAACTTCTGCGCATTCCAATAACTCTCGCACTTCAACTCGATCACCACAGATTCCTCGTCAACGTATGGTTGGGCGAAGACTTCCGCACCAGATGTACCCGGCGTTAGGACGATGTCAGCGGCTTGGCGGGCGTTATTCTGGTAGCAGTTATCTTCGCGGCCGGCGTTGAAGAGCATGCGCATTTCTTCTTGGGCCCAGCCTTCCCAGCCGCCTTTGGAGAGGTGGGCTTCGCTGATTTGGTGGGTGTTGTGGTGGCCCCAGTCGAGGATTGCGTCGAATAGGGTGTAGTTTGGGGGGTCGGGAGTTTGGTATGTGGTCATTGTGTTGGAGTGTATTGTCTTGCTTAGGTGTTAGTAATGTCTGCCTGTGGTCCGTATGGGCTTGGTTTGTGGGGATGGTATTTCTAAACACATACTGTACTCAGATAGAAGAAATGTGGTTGAGTAAAGTGTGATATACTATGAGGTACTATGGTTGGTCTTCTGGGAACGTGCAGTAAATGTACAGATCAGGACAAATGGGTATCAGGAAGTACGGGATGAAAGTAGTGAAGGAAAAGGCTACAATTTTTATTGCCTATAGGCCCAAGGTGAACAGCTACCTTACACGGTTAAGAGGAAACTGTCTTCGATTGAACACCCAAAAATAGTATAAAAAGTCAAACGCACGAGCCGATGAAAAAAGAACGGCTTAATCTAAGTTAGCTGCGTGAACGGGTAGTAATAAACAATACCTTTTATTTAGATATTATCGGAAAAATAAATATAACCACATTCGAGCACTGAAGACACGGCCAGTCTCCATATAACATCTGCAGCCAACTATACTCCACTGACATTATGTACAGTGTCCAAGCAAGTGTTCAAGCATCAGCTGAACAAGGAACCCGTCATGCACACGGCCGAGACCAAACGCCAAACCGTGACAGATTGGATTAGTTGCATATTCTAACAACTGTATAGCTGATTATTGGCTAAGCTTACCATGCCTAGACTGCCGGCATTTGACGTGAGTTAAGTTAGTTAGGGTTTTTCTGGCTCCGAAGGGCGCCAAGCAAAGGCCGTGCGGGCCTGCATGATCTGATTTCCTAAAAGGGTAAACACTGAGCCAAAAAAGCGTTCCTAGGTCTTACATAGTCTGCTTCTAGATATGACCCTCCTTCTCGTATCGTGAGACGAGGCTGTGATTCTACTTTGCTTAGAGCTGCCAGCCATGAGCATTTAGTGGATGTGTTGTAATTTTCCACCTATCTTCTTGGGGCTCTAACGCCAACGGTGGTGGCTGTAGCGGTATGGCTGTCAGGAAACCATTCAAAAAGCATTGAGGCTCGGGGATGCTGAATTGAGAAGTAAAGCCCGAATAAAGTTGTAAATTGGAATATAATTAGTAGCTTGGACTAGACCCTTTGCTGGTTTGGATTCCTTACTGGTTATATTTGCGAGTATATATATTGGTTGAAGACAGCACGCAAGCCATCATCTAGTCTATACTTCATCTCTACCAAGATAATCCATTAATCCATACCAATTCAAGTCTCAATTCAATACTTAGCCATGGCCCAAACTCGACGCAAACCTGTCCCCAATAAGCACATGCAACCACACCCCCCAGCCCCAGTCCATCTCCGAGGAAATCAACCCCGCCCAGCACCGCAGATGCAATATCGACCACAGCAGCACAATGGCTCCAGCCCACAGCTTGCCCACCTCAGAAACCAACAAAATGTTCAAGGCCGGCAAATCGCCCGCAACAGCGCTCAGATACACCAGCAGTCTGCAGCATTGCATCACCAGGCTGCCGCGCAGCATCGTCAGAGTAATGCACAGCAGAAGCGAATGGCCAAGCAAAATGCCCAAATGCAACAGCAGATGGCAAAGAATAATGCTGCTATGCAAAAACAGATGGCCAAGCAGAATGCAGCCATGCAGCACCAGAATGCCCGGATGGGCCACGAGTTGCAGGCTATGAAGCGCCAACAACAGCAGCAGCAGAAGCAGGGGAACAAGAAGAAGGTTTTGGCAGGTGCTGCAGCCGGAGCGGCTGTGGGTGCTGGTGGGGCCATGTTGGTGGAGGAGAGATGGTTTCATGAGCAGGTTCCGAGGGAGGAGAGAGAGGAAATCGAGGAGGAAGAAAGTGAGGAGGAAGAAAGTGAAGAGGAGCCGGAACAATATAGCAGTGAATCTGAGCAGAGCAACGGTGGAGGATATTGGCCTGAAGAAAATACTCAGGATACTAGTGGAGGGGGCGGTGATGATGATGATGGTTGGTGCTCTGATTGTTGCAGCTGTGATTGCGATTGCGACTGTGGCGATTGTTGCATGGGAGATAGCAAGGACGACGACAGTGATTGTTGCGGTTGTTGAGAATGTTTCGATGGTTTTGGTGTTTACGATATCCGGGTAATATATATTGTAGCCTCAGTTGCTATCAATAATATGATGAATTCCGAAGCCGGCAGTTATTTAACATTTTCATTTATACTTGGGAAGCTCGTTGTACTCAGCTTTTTGACCCCAAGAAATGTAGATGTGAATTCTACAGACATAGAAACCTACCAAGAAGATTTAGATTACTGAAATAGAATTTGAGAGTTCCTAGGTTCTACATGGATTAAGCTTATGGAAATGCCGACGCAAGCTGACACCACGATTTGCGACAGTGCACGAACATACAAGTTGGCAAGAAAACTAAATCGAATGAGGAAGTCGACGAGGCTACTGGCTAACCAAAGCGGGAACTAGATCAGCGGAACTTGGAGGGTTTTAGGTATGGCATGGCGTTTACTTCTTTCGGTAATGGATGGGTCTATCATTTCCTCACGATCAAGTGCACGGCCACTGTATAATAGCCTCCTGCTTCGTTCCTAGTTTATGCCAAGAGCCGTGGTCTAGAACAGGCTTTTTTCCTAATTGTCTTTCTACACTTGTGCTTCAATCAACCCAACGTTATTGCCAATGAAAGAAGAATATTTCACTTCAAAGGCATGAATAGTATGGTAATCATTCTAAACTAAGGCGATATATCTATATTCACTTATGTAAAGTATTGTTATGGTTTTCTTTTATTCGATTCATATACCAGGATTATAACGACTAATTGGTATAGGGCATCATCATTCAGCCTGATTTAAGGTGGACATGCAAAAGCCCCGCGCCTAGGCCAAATTGGTTCTAGACTGCACCAGACCGTAAGGAGAATAAGCACACCAGAATATTATCTCCAACGTACAACGTGACATTTCCACCCTTCACCCTGAAACAAAGCTGCCTACGACGAATCCAGCTGCTAGGAATGCGACCCCGGTTGCCCTTCAAAAAGCCTAGATGCCGCGCCCAACAGGGACCTGCCTTCGTTTTCGTGGATACCGCCGACAGGTTACCGCATGGGCCGCAGGATAAAGATGTAAGAGTCATTATCAGACGGCAGGCTGCAAGGTCAGGCTGCAGACGCCGTCAAGACGGAAGCACGAGCGAACGGGGCCTTGATGATGCCGAGTCCAAGGATGTATTGGTCCCCGTTGGAGCCGGTCCCACAGGCCTCGTACTGGTCACGCAGGACAACGGGTGGCCGCCTATGATACTAGCTAATGTCCCACATCCTGCACCTGTACTCCAACCATCGTACAATGGATACGAGACGCTCAGGGTTAGGTACAACTTTGACGTTACCGACCTGACCAGTTTCACGGATGTAGACCTCGGCAAGACTGCTTACCTTTTGCTGAGAGACCAACCGACCCGCCTCATTAGCCTTTTGCAGAAGCGGTCATCGTCTTTCTTGTCCCATCTTCCCAGTCGTTATGGATCTAGCCAATGCTTGGATGATTCTATACATTGTGTGGCTGCTCGAGCGGGTCAAATGCTTGGCTTCCCAATCCGTACATCAACACCGCCTGCATTATACGTAAAGGCTCTGAACAGTCTTCAAGCTGCGATTGAGGATAAAACACAGTACCTAGGAGCTGATGTCTATTGTGCAACGCGGCTTTTAGCCATATATGAGGTAAGCTCTCGTTATATGTATTACGTCACAGGTTACAAACAGTAGCACTAGTTAATCGGCCTTCCTGACGCAAATCACTGGATCCACCATAACCGGGGCGGAATCAAATTAGTTGAGCTTAGAGGGCCTGAGAACCATAAATCTGAGTTTGACTGGTTGCTTCTAAGAAGCCAAGGTCCATCTATCGTTGGTTCTTTCCTTGCCTCCTCATCATGCACACCGTGGGGCATATTGCACCCAATACAAATGGCACAACTAATTCTCCCACAGTTGGTAGATGAAATGTATCGGAAACAAGCCTCAATATTTGAGAGTATGGAGTGGCAACGCTTCCTCGCACATGCATCCAAGACAGAAACGGACTCAGATTCCAGTCTCTGGTGGGAATTCTTCGGAGCAATCAGCTTCATGCCAGGTATATTGAAAGACATGAGGGTTTTATTTGACAGTACATTACCTCAGTCCGAATACGTAGCACAGAGCCGGGATATCGTTGAGCGAACGAACAAAATGCACACAGCGTTGCATGAAAGTCACCTCCGCTACCAACAGAGGCCGCCATATCCACCGTCTCTCTTCGATCTCCCCGTCTGCGCCGAATCAACTGTTCGGGTTAGACTTCGTGGATTTCTGCTATATGTCATCATGTATATAAGTCGTGTTACAGCGACACTGTCTCCGAATGAGGCAGAGTGTGCTGTCAGTGAAGCAGAGGCACAGACCTTCGCGGCACAGGCTCTGCTCACGGAGAAAATGACTGCTCAGCTTGATCCGACCATGACTTGGCATTTGGAGCAACGGAACGCCCTTGCTCATTCTATCATACAAACAAGAGACATCTGGGCATCTCCTCTAGCGTATAGCATGCCATGGGAAGAGCGAAAGTACTACCTGGCGCAACGGTGGTTACAGTGGGAGGACTCGTGGAGAGATGGAGTTTTGACTGTGGAGTTAGAAGAAGCGTGAGGGAGAGCATAATATCTGTGCATAAGTGTCGTACATGTGGTGGATACTATCGTTCCAGTCCTAGTGTGTTGGATGTTCGGTTAATACTTCTATCTACTTTTATCTTCATGGCTCAGACGGGACAATGCCATTTCTATATATAAATAGTGACACTCGAATGAGATGCAATCGAGCGAAGAGGCTAATTATTCTCACATGTAATGATGAGTATAACGGCATATATACAGTGTAACGGAAAGTCTATTCCTCCGGAGGATAAACCACGATCCGATCCAGGTCTGCTCCCTTGTAGTCAAACCCGTTGTAAAGTCCGCCGATCGTGATAGTGTTTTTCTTCCCCTTCTCAAGTGTTAATTGCAATGGAGTGGAGAGGATTATGCTCTTGTGGGTATCCCGCTGATAGAGCGTCTGGACGTTGGAAGTATCGCCGTTAACAACGACGCTGCTAATGCGTCGGAGCTGCCATTCACCTCCGATGCGGTCAGGGGTTCCACCAGCTGTGGGCTTTGTTAGCAAGATAATCCAGTCAGGAGGCAAAGGTGGAGCTTACGTTGGTCTCCGAATCCCATATCATCAGTGTCTATTGAACGCTATTAGTAGGACTCATTCCAACAAAGTTAACCGGACTTACTCTGGTAATAAAATGACACCCATTGTGGCTTGCCTGTGCCTTCAATACCTTCGAATGTAACCGTGCTGTCGTTGCCGTAGATGCCGGTCAGAATGGTGTTGTCGCTCGCGAAGTTCTGTATAGTTAGCAACTATCCTATCAGACAGAGTGAACGCGATACTCACTGCTTCTTGCTTGAAGGCATCTCCGGCAGTCTTTGCATCCTTTCCGTAGTAAGTCTTTCCTTTGACTGGCTTCCATTCCCCAGTTTTGCTATCCCGTGTCAGTTCGTATATGTTTGTGCATATTTGGTAAAACCTACACATTGAGGTCATAGACATCGTGCCAAACCAGCTCTAGCGTCTTCTTCTTGTCATCAATCTCCATGGGCAGCCATATATAACGACTCTCCCAAAGCGAGTTTGAGTCCCACTTTCCCACGTTAGCAAAGTCACGGTTGCTAGAACAGTTAACACCGTACCTGGTCACCAATGTAAAGATATGTAGTCTTCTTAGAACCCTCAATCTTCAACGAATTACCAGACTGAGAGTTGAATGTGCGCGTGTTAAGGGGCGCCACCATGAACGGCTGGGACCAAGGACCCTCCAGTGAATCAGCGCGGAACGCAACGACATCTGTCTGGTTAGCACCAGTCTGTTGAACAAAAGTTAAACCAGAGGGATCACACTTACTGTTCGGCCTGTATCCAGTCTTATGGCTCATCAACGCGTAATAACTCTCGTCCGTTTGGATAATCGTAGGCGCCTCGAGATCGAACTTATTAAATCGGTAGACCACCTCTTCCAGCTCTGAGACCTCCTCATTGTACCTAGTAATGTAGACATCGCGACCCTCCTGCCTATCTCCGTTCGAGTAAAGCGCATATGATCGTCCATCCTTATAATCCGTGAAGAGCCCATAATCCTGTGACCAATTGCCCATCGGCGCCGTCGCATTGACAAAGGTATAGGGGCCGGCGGGGGTATCCGACGTCGCAAATCCCTGCAGCAGCAATCCGTACGAAGAGTTATCCGCGTGCCAGAACATCTGGAACGAGATTAGCAAAACTCACCTGATAGTCAAGAAGACTCACTCACATGATACTGACTAGTCTCCTCACTATACACAACCTTGGGTCGCTGGATCACATTTTCGGGAGAAATATACGTATGGTTCTTCACGGGTTCTATGCAAAGCAAGTAAACGTCAGTGCCACATCCCAGCACAAAACATTGACTGAAATCCATACCCAACGCCAATCCATGTGATTCCCACGTCGCCAAATCCTCTGAGCTATACACCGACACTCCTCCACCCTCCTCCTGTCCTTCAGTCTTGTATTCCCCAAACCACCAGAAACGACCCGTGTCTTTGTCGAAAGTAATACCTCCCGCGTGAGCGTTCACCAAATTGCCCTCTGTGTCGTGCCAACGGCCTCCGGGCACGATGTACTTGCTCTGCGCGATCGCGCCGCATAGCAGGATTGACAGTGCTTTGATTCCCAACATTTTTCGTGCAATTGCTGGGGATTGAACGGATTGGTGTCCGGGAGTTAATTTGTCGTTGTTTGGTAATATATTATTAGCCAAGACGCCGTCGGTTGTTGATACCCCGAGGTTGCGGGGTTAGTTTTTCCGTCGTCTTGTCTTGGGATTTTAATGTCAGTGCACACAAACTATGAAGGGATGCGTTCCGCCGGAGAAATCTGGGGAGAGGCCTATGGTATTAAAGACTTGGTTTGCCAAGGGGTAGGTGATCGTGGTGTCATTTTATCAGCGGAATACTGGCCAAATTGGCCCTGCCGTTGCCGTACATTTTGGGCCG